GGCTCCGTGGCGGCGGGGGCGCCGTTTAAGCACCCTCGTCGTGGAGTGCCCCTCTTCGCGGGGAATCGCCCCGCTTCCCTCTGCTTTTGCTTAAAAAAAAGCTAAAAAAACAAAGAGCATAGCGACTGTTACGGGTTTTGGCGTCAGGTCCGTGAGCCCTTTCTGCTTTCGCAAGACTCTTTCGGGGGTCGTGGGTGCGGCTGCCCATCTCATCAGGCTCCCTAGACTCGGTGCCAGGGCCCGGCAGGCCCCCACCTGCGCAATCCGATTTCCTCGGGCCACCAAGGCAGCCTTTCACTTGCTTTCAACTTCACTTTGTTGGCTTACTGCTTATTATTCACCATAAAGCATTGCCAAACCGTTCAGTCACACAGCAGGAACGTGTTAGGTGAGACCCAAAGCTCAGTCGCTCAGCGCTGGGCACAGGCAGTGTGGCTGGTTCTGCGCTCACCCTCAATACCCAGCTGCATTCTCTTTTATTCCTGCCTGTTGCGCTTTGTATGAGGTGGTTGAAAACTCTCTCATCTGCCTTGGCTACCAGTTTTTTTATAGCACGGACCTGTCCTTTCTATTTGTTCATTATTATTTTCTTTTGCAATGTCAAAAGACATTGCACACTAATGCAGAGCTGCAGTGAGGATACCCTGCAACAAGCAAATTGGAGGAGCTCATCTCCTTGCCAGCATCCTTTTGGGGCGATGCCTCTCCATCATTATAATCTGCTTGCCCATCTCCAGTTAGAGCTTTAAGTTTGCACCTCCCACCAAGGCTGGTATGCTCAAAGTCCTGCACATTTTTTTTTCCACGTGTGCATTTCCTTTGCCTCGCAGGCCTTGTTTTCTATATGTAAACAGAGTGGTAAGTTACTAGTCATAGATTTAAATTCACTGCTTTGGGGGTGCATCTCTGTGGGATGGATGTTCAGAGGTCCAGATGTTTAACCAGTGCTCTAGACAGAAACTTATTTCCTTCACCCACCCACTGCTGCCTCATTTAAAAGCAGAAAGGCTGACAAACTGCAGAAATGTACTGAGCAATTCTGAACAATTTGGAGCCCATCCCTGTGGCTGCTTGATCTTTGTTAAAGTTTTATCCACTTGAGAAAGAGCGAGATGAAGATATTAAGAGGAAATTTTAGACAAACGTGGAGAACACATTAAGTGCAGAGGTGCCCCTGGGGTACTTTCGAGCTCTATCCCTGCTTGTGCAGAAGATGTAGTACCTAGGAGTAATGTTAGTAATCAATTTGCTTTCTGATGTGTGAAGTTTGAAGTCTAAAAGATCTGCTTTCTATCTCAAAAGGAGGCAGCAGCTGGAAGGAGTTCCTTCTCTTATGAAGTCTAAACTTTGTAGCCACTTTTGTGGGGAGAAATAAGCAAGAAAAGATCTCTGTTATGTCACAAACCAGAATTCAACTCTAATAAGGGGTAATTCCAAAGAATGATGCTAGTTATAGCATCTTAAATAACTCTCCATGTTACGGCAACACATGCTTTTCCTCTACAAGTAAGTGCTTCCCTCAAAACATACTGTGTTTGTAATGCTCAAAGTCCCTGGGCTTTTTCTTATACCCAGTCAGACCCTCCATTTAGTAAATTATTTAAATTTATTACCATTACTTTTAACCATGGCTGGTTTTTCAGTGAGTGTTTCTCCCTGCACTCTCCCTTTACCCCCCCCAAGCAAGGATGTCTGTTTGTCATGTGCTCTGACAAGTCACTGCCTTGTGATTCTGAGCTGTCTGCAGCCCTACACTGTTCAGCGTTCTGGTGGACATAGAAAATGCGCTGCGCCGGGCTACTTTTCACATCTAAAAAGCAGTCTTGTGCAGCAGCTAGGTTTGCTGAGGGAGTGGCAGACAGCAAAGTGCCAGCGCTATCCCTATACCTAGCGGTACCACCCTCTTTTTACACTATGATTTTTTGCTCTAGTTCTGAGCTCACTTTCTCCCTTCTCTGACTCCCAGTGGGTGGGAGGAAGGGAACCGAGAAGAGTTTGGCCCCATCCTCCCTACATTCATCTCTCAGCTACTTATACATACTGATCAGATCTGCTCTCCGTCTTCTCCCCTCCAGGCTAAACAGGCCCAGCTCACTCAAGTCTTTCCCCATGCGATAGATGCTCCAGTCCCTTAATCATCTTTGTTTCTCTGCGCTGGACCCTCTCTAGAAGCTCCACATCCCTCTTGTGCTGGGGAGCCCAGAACTGCACCCAGTACTCCAGGTGTGGCCTCACCAGAGCTGAGGACAGAGGCAGGATCCCCTCCTTTGACCTACTGGCAACACTCCTCCTAAGGCAGGTCAAGAAGGCCAATGGGATCCTGGGGTGCGTTA